AAAGGAAAGGAAAGGAAAGGAAAGGAAAGGAAAGGAAAGGAAAGGAAGAAAAAAGTCGTTGAAGCTATTCCTCTACTGGGAAGGCAGTCCAAAGTCAGTAATGGTGAGTCAGTAACATCACATTGGATTCAAAGTGGACACGTTGAGTCTATAAATCAACAAATTATTACTGAGCACGCAATTGGCATAGAATTTTTTGTCTATCTGTGTGCCTATCTGTCTGTCTAGGATAAGAAAAGGGGTTGTAGAGACAGCAGAGGGTCTGGTTTGAGCCCTAGCTTTGCCCCTGAGTGTCTGTATGACCTTGAACAGTCAGATTCCCTGAACGTCAGCTTCCAGTTTCCTCAGCCTTTAAAATGAGCACAAAATTCTTAGTCAACAGGGATACTGTGAAGATGGAAAGTAGGGATGTATTTGAAAGCCTTTTGTAAAACGTGAAGTGTGATAACGTGTATAATTATTATGAGTGCATGATGAAAAGAAAAGGCAATGAAGGCAATGAAAGGGAAGGAGGCTGTGAGAGTCCCAGTCACCCTCTAAGCAGTCAGGTGCAATCCAGGAGTGGGGCATGAGGCCCGAGCTCTCCGAGCCTGTCTGTCCTGACCCCCTGACAGTCCCGAAACCTCCAGAGACTCGGGTTCATCGTCTCGTCAAATGGGCTCCGAGGCGCCTGACTTCCTGGGAGGAGCGGGCTTACTAATAAAGAGATTGTCTTAATAATGTGAAGTACCGGGTGCCATGGTAACGGGCATTACATGATCTGGAGAACAGGAGCAGCTTTTGATAAGAATAGGGAGTCTGCAGCTGGGAGAAGGGGGGTAGGGATGCACATGGGATGGGGGTGGAGGAAAGGCAAACATGGGCAGACACAGAGTAGGCACCAAAGGGAATGGACAAGCAGGATCCGTGGTACCCGCCAGTCGGGGCAGCCTCTCCTGTCTGAGCCCTGCTAGCTGGGGTGTGTCTGGAGCCTCTCCAGATTCTTCTGTTGCTAGTGAAGATTAGGATCCCCCTGTGTCCTTGACCTGGAAGCCCCCAGTGCTGTTTCAGGATATGAGCGGGTACAAATACTTGGGTAAAACCAGGTTGTGAATTTACAAAAGAAAAAAACAAAAACAAAAACCAGAAACATGGGTTTTATTTGTACTCACCGAAGAATGACTTTAAGAAGTTCTCTTGTAACTCAGTTTGGCGTGGCCTCTTGGTTGATGGTGTTCTGGGTGAGTCCTACCAAAGTGGAGAGTCAGAGTTCATACACTAAGAATAGAAGGTCAAGGCCGATGCTGATTTCCATACCATCAAGCTTCATTACTCTATTAGAATACTGTCTGTCCATCCAGGGACATGCCGTAGAGCACAGGAGGCTGCCAGGCAGAGGGAAAGCACATGAGATGGGGCAAGGGAGGATGATCCACACCTAATGAGTCCTTGGACGTTCCAGACGCTAGACTGGGTGCTTTATCCACATCAACTTCTGCCGGGGAGTCTACCGTCTCGGGTTCAGGGCCCAGCTTCTCACCGGCCAGCTGTGAGATCTTTGGGCTGTTTTTTTTTTTTTTAAAGACAAAAACCTCTGGGGCGCCTGGGTGGCTCAGTCGGTCAAGCGTCCGACTTCGGCTCAGGTCATGATCTCACAGTTTGTGAGTTCGAGCCCCGCGTCGGACTCTGTGCTGACAGCTTAGAGCCTGGAGCCTGCTTCAGATTCTGTGTCTCCCTCTCTCTCTGCCCCTCCTTGCTCACACTCCGTCTCTCTCTCTCTCTCCCTCTCTCAAAAATAAATTATAAACATTTAAACATTTTTTTTTAAATAAAGAAAAGAAAACATCTGTTCTTATCTTAAGAGGGCCATTCGACTCTACAGACAGTACCTGGGGTTTACCAGCAGGCCTACTGGAACTTCAGCAGCTTGACCCCAAAAGGCCAGGCTGACAATGGCAATTTACACAAGTCGTGACTGTCCACAGCCTGTGGTTGTCTGGACCTGTGGGCAGCATCAGCAACAGCCCTGCAGGCCAGGCTTTGAGCCAGCTCTACCTGCCGTGGAACAGTAGAGCCATTCTCTTCCCAAGCCTTCGTATATTTCCGCAGGTTCAATGAACACGGTTTGATCATCTCCCATATCCTAGCCACCGTGCTGGCCTAGGGGACAGAAAGAAGTGTCAGAAATGCTTCCCCCCCTTCTCAAGCTCACAATCTGATGAATAACTGTGATGTGGGAACCTATATTATGCTACACTTCCCTTTAGCTGCGGCTCTCTCTTCCCCTTCCCAGCCAATACCTCCAGAAGCTGCTGAGCACCCTCCCCCACCCTGCCCCACCCTTAGTCATTTGCTCACCTTCCACGTGCTTCTGAGTCCGCAAATCTGGCCTCCACGGCCCCCACTCTAATATGACCAGTCTCTCCAAGGTCATCAGAAACCCCTTTGTTTCAGATTTGAATTCATGTTTTAGCTGTTTATCTAACAATGGAACAGCGTTCAACACTACTGACTTCTCTTCCCTTCTTGAAGCGTGATCCTTTGGCCTCCTTGGCACAATCCTCACAGATCCAAGTATTCACAGCCCCTCTAGACATCTAGATGTGGATGTCTCACAAGCATCTCACACCTGACATAGCCTAACTAAACTCAGGATGTTGCCTCCAAATCTGCTTTTCTTCCAGAGTCTTCCACTCCTAGATGGCAGCTCCAGCCAATATGAAACCACTTTCCCCCTTGTTTCTTTTACTTCATCCGCCACCCAATGCTGTCAGTTCTTCTCATCTTCAATGCACCCAGCTTGGTCTCCATCTTGTTCTGCCTGGATTGCTGCAAACACCTCCTTTTCCCCTTGCTTCCACTGTTACCCTCTCCATCCCCTTAGTTACACAATAGCCAGATTTTTTTTATTTTTTATTTTTTATTTTTTATTTTTATTTTTATTTTTTTTTTAGAGCAATAAAATTTTATGGGCTTTATTTACTAATATAATATATTCTTTGGGAAACATTTCAATGTTTCTTCACAAATTGCAGTTACTCACTGATCCCATCCATGAATAATAATAAAAAAAGAAACTTTTTAACATGCCTAATTGTAATATAAACTTTCAAACAATTTATTTTAGAACCATGTAGAAAGACTGAGAAAAATAATTTTATTTAAAATTGTAAAGGTATATTTTAAAAACAACTATTCCCAATATTGATATATTTTGCAACTCTAATGCTTTGGTTTTTATGACTTGCCACCACTTTTGAAAAAGTGAAAGTCATTGTTTTAGTTTCCCAAGGTGCTATACCAAATTACCACAAGCGAGGTAGTGTAAAACGACAAAAATTTATTCTCTCATGTTTCTGGAGACCAAATGTTCAAAATCAAGGTGCTGGCAGAGTCACTCTCCCTCTGAAAGTTAAGGGGAGAATCTTGTCTTGCCTCTTTCAGCTTCTGGTCACTCTTGGTGTTCTTTGGCTTGTAGGGACATAACTGTAATCCCAGCCCCCATCTCCACATGAACTTCTCTTGCTCTGTGTCTCTCTGTGTCCTCTCTTCTTCTTCAAGGACACCTGTCATTGAATTTAGAACCCACTCTCAATCTGATATGATTTATCTTAAGATCTTTCACTAATTACATCGGCAAAAACTCAATTTTTAAGTAAGGTCACATTCTGAGGTTGAATAGAAAAACTATTCAACTCACTACAGGCAGTTTGGATCTGAGAAGTAACATACTACACACACTTCATGGATTTCAAGATGCTATAGACTCTACAGAGTATAATGATCTAATTAATGTGCCACCAAGAAAATACACATTATCATTTTAATTGTAAGATGCCATCAATTGTAGGATTCAAACTGCTTTAAAAATGTCTCTGAAAAACATGACTCGTGGAATCAAGTAAACAAATGATATCATGAATTTCTTTTTTTTTTTTATATATATGAAATTTATTGTCAAATTGGTTTCCATACAACACCCAGTGCTCATCCCAAAAGGTGCCCTCCTCAATACCCATCACCCACCCTCTCCTCCCTCCCACCCCCCATCAACCCTTAGTTTGTTCTCAGTTCTCAACAGTCTCTTATGCTTTGGCTCTCTCCCACTCTAACCTCTTTTTTTTTTTTTTCCTTCCCCTCCCCCATGGGTTCCTGTTAAGTTTCTCAGGATCCACATAAGAGTGAAACCATATGGTATCTGTCTTTCTCTGTATGGCTTATTTCACTTAGCATCACACTCTCCAGTTCCATCCACGTTGCTACAAAAGGCCATATTTCATTTTTTCTCATTGCCACGTAGTATTCCATAGTGTATATAAACCACAATTTCTTTATCCATTCATCCATTGATGGACATTTAGGCTCTTTCCATAATTTGGCTATTGTTGAGAGTGCTGCTATGAACATTGGGGTACAAGTGCCCCTATGCATCAGTACTCCTGTGTCCCTTGGATAAATTCCTAGCAGTGCTATTGCTGGGTCATAGGGTAGGTCTATTTTTAATTTTCTGAGGAACCTCCACACTGCTTTCCAGAGCGGCTGCACCAATTTGCATTCCCACCAACAGTGCAAGAGGGTTCCCGTTTCTCCACATCCTCTCCAGCATCTATAGTCTCCTGATTTGTTCATTTTGGCCACTCTGACTGGCGTGAGGTGATATCTGAGTGTGGTTTTGATTTCTATTTCCCTGATAAGGAGCGACGCTGAACATCTTTTCATGTGCCTGTTGGCCATCCGGATGTCTTCTTTAGAGAAGTGTCTATTCATGTTTTCTGCCCATTTCTTCACTGGGTTATTTGCTTTTCGGGTGTGGAGTTTGGTGAGCTCTTTATAGATTTTGGAGACTAGCCCTTTGTCCGATATGTCATTTGCAAATATCTTTTCCCATTCCGTTGGTTGCCTTTTAGTTTTGTTGGTTGTTTCCTTTGCTGTGCAGAAGCTTTTTATCTTCATAAGGTCCCAGTAATTCACTTTTGCTTTTAATTCCCTTGCCTTTGGGGATGTGTCGAGTAAGAGATTGCTACGGCTGAGGTCAGAGAGGTCTTTTCCTGCTTTCTCCTCTAGGGTTTTGATGGTTTCCTGTCTCACATTCAGGTCCTTTATCCATTTTGAGTTTATTTTTGTGAATGGTGTGAGAAAGTGATCTAGTTTCAACCTTCTGCATGTTGCTGTCCAGTTCTCCCAGCACCATTTGTTAAAGAGACTGTCTTTTTTCCATTGGATGTTCTTTCCTGCTTTGTCAAAGATGAGTTGGCCATACGTTTGTGGGTCTAGTTCTGGCGTTTCTATTCTATTCCATTGGTCTATGTGTCTGTTTTTGTGCCAAAGCCAGATTTTTTTTAATGCAGAATTGATCATAGGACTCCTATGCTTAAGTCCTTTCATGAGTAGGGCACCTGGGTGGCTCAGTAGGTTAAGTATCCAACTCTTGATTTCCACTCAGGTCATGATCTCCTGGTTGTGAGATCAAGCCCCATGTCAGCTTCTGTGCTGGTCTGGTCATGGAGCCCACTTAAGGTTTTCTCTCCCTCTCCCTTTGACCACTGCTCATGTGCGTTCTCTCTCTCTCTGTCTCTCTCTCTCAAAAAAAAAAAAAAAAAAAAGCCTTTAATGTTTTATAATTGAACTGAAAAGTAACCTCCTTTACCGTAACTTGATCTTTAAGGTCCCCATGACCTGCCCCTGGCTACTTCTTTACCTAAACTCCTGTACTCTTGCCCTCGATCACTGTGTCATAGATGCACAGCTCTCCTTTCAGTGCCTACGTCATGCCACACCCTTTCCTGCCCCGGGGCCTTTAGACATGCTATCCCTGCTACTTGGAATGCTCTGGTATTCTACCAACTCTACCAGGCAACTCCAACCAATATTTCAGGACCCAGTATAAATGTCACCTCCTCAGAAAAGCCCTTCCTAAAACTCCAATTTAAATTAGATCTTCCCGCTATATTCTCTTATAAAGCCCTGGTATTTCTCACCAAATCTCACCAAAATTTTCTATTTATCCCATTATGTATGTGATGTTTGCATCTCTAAGACTTTAACTAGCATGAGTGCAGGCATTTTGTGTATCACCTTTACTTTGTCTTTCATTTAAGAAAGAGACCTGGTAAATAAATAGGTCTCTGCATCCATAAAGGAAATTCATGCTGACCTCAGAAGTTAGTAAACTTTCTCTTTCATTCAAAAAAATATGCGTGGGACTTCCAAGGACACCAAGCATTTGAGAAAATTCAACATCACTAAAGAATCTAGATGAACAAATAAAACACTCACTCCAGAGAAAACAAAACAGAAAAGACTTTTTAAATGATTCTAGGGGTATCTGGTGGCTCAGTCAGTTAAGCATCTGACTCTTGGTTTTGGTTCAGGTCATGATCTCACAGTTCATGGGTTCGAACCCAATGTGGAACCCAAGCAGAGCCTGCTTGGGATTCTCTCTCCCTCTCTCTCTGCCCCTCCCCTGCTTGTGCACTCTCTCTCACACACACAAAATAAATAAACTTAAAAAATAAATTAAAACAATGATTCTGATTCCTCTGCTCATAAAGATTCAGGGAGATAGTACATCCATAAAACAAAAAGAGTTACTGTAAAAAGAAAACATTCAGAGAGCAGGAAAGAGATACTGGAAATTACAAACATAGTGGCTGAATGGAAAAGGTCAATGGAGCAAGTGAAGAGCAAATTCAAAAAGACTTTCAGACCATGGATCATTAAGACAAAGACATAGAAAATTTCAGACAAAAAGTGAAGAGACTTAGAGGGTCAACCCAATAAGTGGACCATCAATTTAATGCATTCCAGAAAATGTGAACAGAGAAGATGGAAGGGAGAAAATGATAAAAGAAAGAAAGAAGGACAAGTGCCTGGAGCTTACAAAAAATACACACTAGGTCCACCACCCAAGTATATCCAAGTAAAAGTTTAGAAATGCCAACTGTAAATACTTGAAGATTTAGGAAAAAATAAAAGTGGTTATCTGTAAAGCAACATGTATCAGATTGCCATCACTAAAACTGTATGCTAAGTGTCAGAAATTTGACATCCACTGCACCTTTTTTAGTGTTTATTTATTTGAGAGAGAGTTAGATAGTGGGGGAGGGGCAGAGAGAGGGAGAGAGAGAATCCCAAGCAGGCTCCACAATGTCATGGCAGAG